ACACAAAACTCATCAACCAGACACAAGGACATCATGGGGACAAGCGGGAGAAGGGGGAATGGGAGCCGACTGCCTTTATTTTGACTTTTATGTTATCAAAGTGTCCCATGCTGAGTTTAAAGCTCAAACAATACTGAAACATTCACAATGAAAAACCTTCCTCCACCCTTCCCCACTGCACCTTCCCCAAGCCCCACCTCCCTCTACACTGGGTCAATAACTCTTATTTTTATTTTTCTTAATGTATCTTTATTGTTGGAAGTATTATATGTGTCCCCTTGGGTTAGTAACTTTTAAATTTGCTAACTTCTTCTCCTGGTATGAAGCTCCACATTCCTCTATGTATTCTGATTTTAATTCTTGAGTTAGCCCTATGATATTTTTTAAGATGTACTTTTATTGATTTCAGAGAGAAACGGAGAGGGAGAGAGAGATAGAAACATCAATGATGAGAGAGAATCATTGATAGGCTGCTCCTGCATGCTCCTACTGAAAATTGAGCCTGCAACACAGGCATGTGCCCTTGACCGGAATCAAACCTGGGACCCTTCAGTCCACAGGCCGATGCTCTGTCCACTGAGCCAAACCAGCTAGGGCATGTTATCCCTATGATATTATATAAGGTTAACAACTTAAGCATTTGTAATAGGAAAAAACAAACAAACACCTAAATTAAATATTCAACATAAAGAAAATGGCCAAATAAATGTTATGGTACATTACGCTGCCATTAACATAAAAATTTTCCAATAAATTTAAATCTCATAAGAAAATGAGCAGGGTATGATGTAATAAAAAAAAAAGAGCAGAATATAAAACTGTACATATTGTATAAAGCCAATTATCCATCAATATAGACATTACAAAACTGAAGAACATACCAAAGTACCCTGTTTCCCCGAAAATAAGACAATGTCTTATATTAATTTTTGTTCCCAAAGATGTGGTAGGTCTTATTTTCAGGGGATGTCTTATTTTTCCATGCGCTAGGTCTTATTTTCAGAGGATGTCTTATTTTCAGGGAAGCATGGTATTAACGGAGTTAGGCTTCAGGGTAATTTTATCTTTAAATTTCTATAGTTTTGTTGTTTGATTTTTAATCCTCACCTGGGGATAGTTTTTCCATTGATTTCTAGAGAATGGGAGCGGGGGAGAGAGAGAAAAAAAAACATAGACATGCGAAAGACACATCAATTGGTTGCCTCCCACACACACCCCTAATGGGCCTGGGGAACTTGCAACCAAGGAATCGAACCTGGGACCCCTCGGTCCACAGGCCCACCCTCTAAACCACTGAACCAAACCAACCAGGGCTAAATTTCTATACTTTGAAGTTTTCCATAATGGACATATATTGATTTTCTAACAACAACAAAAAAAAGCCTAAGAAAAAAATGGCAGTTAGGAACAAATCCAGGGTTATTTAACTAATTTTTAAAGATTAAGATAAAATTATAAGCATGATTATTTTTTGAAATCATATTTATAATGTTTTTCTATCTTTAAAAAGGTGAAGAAGAATATTGACCTTATGGGGTTATTGTCAGGTTTAATTAAATAATCTTTGTGAAGTTCTTAAGCTAGAGCCTGCCCAAGGCAGTATGTGTACATGTCTATATAAATTAAAAACAAAAAGTTTTTAAATATATATAACAGTTAGCTACTGTAATAACCCTCCACTCCCTGCTTCTTCTTTGCCTGGTTGAGGATAAGGCTTGTCTGACATGGCTGTGCTGGGGGGGGGAGGGGGGGGGGCGGGAAGGGCAGGCCATGGAGGGGGGGGGACATGGAGGGGAAGTGGACCCTGGGCAGGACGGCGGTGACCTGCTGGCCCCCGCAGGTGGCGGCCGAGTACTTCAAGAACACCACGCTGCTGCTGGTGGGCGTCATCTGCGTGGCAGCGGCCGTGGAGAAGTGGAACCTGCACAAGCGCATTGCTCTGCGCATGGTCATGATGGCCGGGGCCAAGCCGGGCATGTAAGTGGCACTGGGGGCGTCCAGCGGAGTGGGCCACCTGGGCGGCCAGCAAGGCCAGGGGCTCCGCCTCCCCCTCCAACGGCAGGGCCTGGACCCATGGAAGGGGGACTTGAGTGTGTGACTCTGGGGTCACTGTCACCGTCTAAACAATGTATCTGAGCAACCCCTTCTGCGAGGACGGTGGGTTACAAAACGGGAAGGGCTCATGGGGTGAAACAGGACAGACTAACCTAAACTGGCTCCCCACCTTTCTCGGGTTCATGAGGAAACAGGCTGGACAGGAAGTGGTGGCTTCTCCTTTGTCATTAAGGAGACGTGACGGTCTCACTGACCAGGCCACACGTGTTGTCCTGTTGCGTTGGACCACGTCTGCCACACAAGGCCTGCCCTCGCAGCCTGCTCTGTTCTCTGTGCTTCCAGAGGCAGGGAGAGATCGCAGCCTTGGGAAACGTGCGGGAAAGTCAGGTTGACAGTCAGGATAACCTCACCCCGGCTCCGCTGCACGGCTCTCTTGCTGCATTTTATGTAAACTGCCCTGACTCCTTTGGGAGTCAAAGGACCCCTTTAGGGTCTAAACAAATAATTTGGTATTCGTTTCAGTGTTAGGCATTAGATTTTGCCTAAAAGGATGTTCCTGTCTCCCACTTAACTGCAGCTTCATTCAGCATAACTCGCCTCCTCCCACCATCGAGGGACTCTGAGGCCCTTTAAGACCTCTGTGTACTGTCTTCAGGAATTTGTACCCCATCGAGTTCCCACTTGTCTCTATTTACCTCAGTCCCAGCAAGGTGCCACCCCCTGTGGTGCTCTGCGCTGGCATATCCAGGGCAGGCCAACAACACACCATCAGGACCTTGGCCCACCCAGCATGAGTCCAGTGATGCAGGTGCGATCCCGAGTGTGGTCAGTGGTTCCATCTAGAGTAATAAACACGGTCACCTTTATGCTGGCTTGTCTTATGGAAATGAGAACCATGTCTGCACAAACACAACTGCGTGTTTTCAAAGCCAACGGGAGATAACCGGAGAGCTATCTTTGTGTTTTCCTCCAAGTGCTGGCCCTGTCAGACACCAGCTGGGAGGTGCTTCCAGTGACATGGGCTCGTCTGTGACTGCAGCAGGCTGACAGTGGGACAGGATGGCGGGGCTGTAAGCTTTATGTGTTGGTCACTAACCGTGGTGACTTGGCTGCAAAGCAAGGCCTGTCATGGTGCTCATAGCACTGCTGGCTGCAAGGGCAAAAACAGAATTCCTTTCCACACAAAGAACATACTTCATCCCAAAACTAATACCCACAGAGAGAGGAGCAATTGGTAAGGCCATGCCCTCTGACCCCATGACCCAAGCTATCCTTTGATTAAGTTAGGGCTTTTTTCCGGCTCAAGCTGCCAGCCCGTGGAGTGTGATTCATTCATCATTCAACAAGTATCTATTGTTCACTCTGTGCCAAGCCCTGGGAGTACAAAGCCAATGGAAGGCATAAAAAACCAATTTTTTTGATAAATTCCGGCCATGGTTCTCTAGGCCCACACCCTCGGGTCTGTCGGAGGCCCCCCAGGAGCCCTGGGAGATGGGCGGTTGGGGGTTGCCCTGCAGCTGACGCTCTGCCCGCCCTCCCTGCCTTCCAGGCTGCTGCTCTGCTTCATGAGCTGCACCACTCTGCTCTCCATGTGGCTCTCCAACACGTCCACCACTGCCATGGTGATGCCCATCGTGGAGGCCGTCCTGCAGGAGCTGGTCAATGCCGAGGAGGACCAGCTCATGGCCAGCAACGCCGACACCGAGGAGGCCGAGCCCACCAGTACAGTTTGCTGGAGCCCCTCTGCCCTTTGCCCCTCTGCCCTCCTCCTGAGATGCCAGCCCGGTGCCCTCATCTGCTGCTTCCCCCTCCCTCCCTCCATCCCATACCAGTCCTCACAGCTTGAAGCTTCCCTGAGACCCTCCCCCAACTGCCAAGTCTTTATTTCTCCCCCACTGACAGCAGCCACCACTGTTCCTTCCTCCCAACACTCAAGGGTCAGGACAAGCCACAGGTCCCACCACACCTTCAGGGGGGTGGGGGCTCAATGCACCAGGCTCCAGCAGAAGCCCTTATGCCCTATTTCCTCGCTCAGCCCTGAGCCCCTGAGCCCTTCCTGCAGAGGCAGGGCCAGCCTCCCCATCTCATTCCCTGGTTTCCTTTGCTGCTGTAGGTCTTGGTGTAAACAATAGCCAGCCTTCTCTGGAGCTCATCTTTGTCAATGAAGAGTGAGTATGACTGCCCGCCTCCCAGGCAGAGCCTCTCCTTGGCCATTTTAAGGCCAGGAAAGTGGGGACCCGAGCCCGTACACAGCTCTTTCAGGTGCACAGGCCACGCTCACACCTTGCCAGGCCACCACCTGCCCTTGCCCTGATTTCCTCTCCACACCTGGGAGCACCTTGCCAAGATCTTGAAGGCAACTTCCTTAGCACAGGGTATGGCAGTGGTCGGGGAGAGATAAAAAGACAACACTAAATCTGAGGGGGTATATTGATGGTCTATATTTCTACCATGTTGAATTTCTCTACATTGACGTCCCTCTTAGGAGAATAATATGTTTAATCTATCAATGAGAAAATATTCACACAATAGATGTCACTGGACATTAGAGAATCACAAAAATTTATAGATATGGTGTCACTGCATTGGGTCTTGTTAGATATGGCAGAGAAAAACTAGGTGGAAGGTAGGGGAATAGAGGACAGTGGTGAGAGCCACAGAATGATTAAAAAAAAAAAAAAGGAACTAGAAAAAGCAGAAATAGTCTCAAACACTCATGGGAGTTCCATCTATCTATCAACAGCTGATTTCTTCTGGTGATTTGATGTCAAACTGTGGCCCTCAAGGTGTTCCGTGATGAATATCACACTAAAAGCTGGATTTGCACTAGAGCTCAGGCTTGCATTGTTCTTTTCATAAAAAATGGAGAACTCACATGAGTGAAACCAGCGTATGGAATGGGGTAGACTCCCAACATCGCACATTGGGTTCTCCCCACCCCGAGCCTTGGCCATATCTCAGGCAAAGCCCAGAGCTCCTCCGGTTCCCATCAGATATGAGATGACCTGGGTTTCCAGATGTTCAGCAGTCTAGCCCAGACTCATCTGAAAACTTCCCCCCATCATCCACCGCCTCTCCCCATCTCCTCTCAAGCTCACACCATCCCCTTCAGCCAGATCTGCAGAATCAGGGGTAAAAGCAAGTGAGGAAGGGAGTTAACTCTCTCTCCTCCCCAATTCACTCTGCTCTCTGGCTTCTCCAGGGAGCAGGAAAGAAAAGGGGCAAGCAGGTCTGGGCTGGAGGTGTCATAGGGGTGTCCCCTGGCCTGACAGCGGTGAGGTGCTCCCAGACAACCACTCATGCCCCCTTGGGTCTGAGTTCTGGTGGCTCACTCCCCACAGCCCTTTGTTCTGGGGTGGCCTCTGCCTTTTCTGGATGGTTCCAGCCCAGCTACCTTCTGTGTGTGCCCACCCCTGCCAAGACTGGTGAGCACTGAAAGCACAGGCTGGGGTCCTTCTTTTCACTCTGGCTCTGAGGCAGCACCCACTGACCTCTTGCCTTTGTTCTTTTCTAGACAAAAATTGCCCCCAAACTCCAAAGCAGAAGCTCGAGTTGTCCCTAGAACTCTGGTGTGAGGATGCTTCTCTCAGAACTCTAGTCTGAGGGCCCCTTGCCTGCCCTCACCCAATCTGGGAAGGAAGGAGAGGAAACCACACTCCTGGCAGGCTAACGACTCTCTCCAAAGAACACTTCCCTCTGAGCCCTCTCAGCTCCTATCCCTCTCCCAAATAGTCTGGGGATGAGTGATGACCACAGGACCCCGAGCCCTTGAGCACCCCTCATTGTCTTCACAGTGGGAGATATCAAAGCACCCACTGTTCTCAGAACTAAGACAAACCAGAAATATCCATTTAGTGCTCGAGTATGTCAGGAATGCTGACAGTTTGATTCTCACCTTCCTCTCAACTCGAGACAAAGGTTGGCGACCAACAGGTGTATGAGACTCAGCATGTGCAGTTGGCCAGCCACCGCTGAGGAGCAGGTGCCATCAGAAACTCCCCCATCTCCTTGCTCTCGTGTGCCTTTCACCACATGCGGGTGCAGGCCCTCCCTGTTCCCCACACCTCAGATAAGCACCCACAGGCTTCTCTTTCCTGATAGTGTCCTCCAGTCAGGCAGAGACAAGCTCCTGCTTGCAAGCCTCTTACCACCTGCTGCCCTCAGAAAGTTAGAGACCTCTCTCTGCCTAGTTCCCTTCTCTGTGAATACAGGTGGCAATACGAGGACTAACAAAGTCCATACTTGAGTACTCAGCACCAACCAGCACTCCATGTTAGCTATTAGGAATGTCAGTCTCACGTCTAAGAATGGGAACAGCATCTCTGGAAGGTGAGGAAGACTAAGGTGAGATTAGACCTCCCCAAAGAGGTGACGATAAGAGCCGGAGACCTGAGCATGAGTGGGAGTAAACTAGATGAAGGGAGATCTGTGTGTGGGAAGAGTTCCCATCGCATGAAGGCTGGTCCATGCTGATCTCCCCACTGCCTTTGCTTTGTTCCAGCTCCTCACCTACAGACTTCACTTCTCTGAAGCAAAACAAGGTATGGCCTTGGGTTTCCTCTGTGCTTGATGATACCTGAAAGTCCCCCGAGATAACTCAGGGTCAGAGATGCCGGACAGCTCGTCCTAGAGCCCCACGGCCTCCCAGAATGAGAACAGAGGGGTGCCCCCCAGCGTGGCTCCGAGCCCCAGCCCTGAGCGCTGGGCATGGACACATACAGCACAGGTTAGCCTTGTTTCACGGGAACCCAATCATCAGCCACCCAGGTTTTCAAGAGCCAAAGATTCATCTTTTGGATTTCTTTCAGGGGGATTCCATTTACAGCTCAGCCTCCTTCCCTCCCCCAGACCTGATTTTACATCTCATCTCACATCAGTTCCAACCGATGGACCTTGATCCATGCAAACTGTGGGCTTTGTTGTGGTACAGTGTTTTTCATTGTAACATGAGGATTCTTCATTAGCTTATGAAGTTCCAGAAAGCCACGCCCTCCTGTAAGGACAGAGCTATATTCTGCCCAGTTGCAAAATCCTCTTCAAATGGGGTGCTTGACACCAGGCTGGACGGAACCTGGGGGAGAGGCAGGCACATTGGGTGGCGTTCACTGCGTGCTCTCCCTGGGATGCTAAACAGCACTTCTCGAGGCCCACCACAGGCTCCTCCTGACAGTGTCATGGTCTCTGTCCCGACAGAACCTGAACGGTGCGCCCACAATCACCAACCCTGTGAAAACACCAAACCACCAAGACAAGCAGCACCCATCCCAGGTAATTAAGTTGTACCTCCTGACTCTGTTTACCTTATGAAATGCTTTGAGCTCCCCAAGGGGCATTGGTTGCGAGGGCGTCAAGCTAGCGAGATGTCCCCAGACCATCTTTCTCCACATCCCTGTCTGGCCTGCGTGTGCCATGGAGATAAAACATCTAACTCACTGCTGACTGGGCAAGACACTGTAGTGTCAGAGCCCCAGCTTCTCTAAGTATAAAAGCTGAGGCCTGATCCAGATCAGAAGGTGTCCAAACTATTCCATAAAGGTGTTTCAGGGACACTGCAAATATTTGAACATCTGAGATTCTAAGGCAACTGTTTTTCTGTGAGAATAGGATTTTTCTGATACTATACCACTAAACCAAATACACAAGTAAAAGAGATGTTGAAGCTTTATAAAATCACAACTGCCACTTCTAACCTTTGATTCAAATGTGTTTATCAACATGATCACATGATCACAATTATCATCTATCATCATCATAAATAACTGCTGCCATTTATTAAACACTTATTATGCTAAGCATCTTCTCCGTTGTCTTGGCTCAATGAGGTATGAATTTTGAACCTCCCCATTTCAAATGAAGCAGAGAGATGAAATCATGTACCCACGTCCAAGACTCCCTGACCACATGTGTATACACTCGGTCACAAAATAGATGTATGCCAATTAAATGCCACATTTACATTTTATATATTGAAGGTCCATCTAAAATTTCATTAGAAGAAAGGATTGTGGCAAACCACTGGACTTGAGAATCTCTGAGGTCTCTTCCAGCTCTGATAATCAATGAATCTTTCAGGAAGGTCTGGAAAAATCCAGAAGTACCTAGGCCCTCTTGGGAAGATAGGGAAGCAGTTAAGGGCTTTGAGAAATGTGGCAACATGGCCTTGAGCTGGCCTGACATTTGCATATGGCTGTTCCTAATCTCATAAAGACTCATGAGGGACGGCCAGGCTGGAGGGAGATGGGGTCATTGCTTCTATACTTCACACTTGAGGCCAAAGGTCAGCAACCTGTGACCCTGAACAGCCATCATCTGGATCAAGCAGGGCCTGAGAGAACCATGGCAAGACTGAGGCTCATATGCAAGGAGGACGGGGACATTAGGGAGTAAACACCAGTAGGCACGAAGGAGAAATGAGTGAGGAAGGAAAGGAGGAGTCACACACTTTATTTATTTATTTTTAAAATATATTTTATTGCTTTATTACAGAGAGGAAGAGAGGGATAGTTAGAAACATCGATGAGAGAGAAACATCAACCAGCTGCCTCTTGCACACCCCCTACTGGGGATATGCCTGCAACCAAGGTACATGCTCTTGACCGGAATCGAACCCGGGACTTTTCAGTTCGGCCGATGCTCTAGCCACTGAGCCAAACTGGTTTCGGTGAGTTACACACTTTAACCCTCTGGCCAATGAAAGCTGTATTCCTTCTGTAATCCAAGGTTTTTTTTTTTTTTTTTTTTTTTAATGTATTTTATTGATTTTTTTTTTTTTTTTACAGAGAGTAAAGGAGAGGGATAGAGAGCTAGAAACATCAATGGGAAAGAAACATCAACCAGCTGCCTTCTGCAGACCCCCTACTGGGGATGTGCACGCAACCACAATACATGCCCTAGACCAGAATCGAACCTAGGACCCTTCAGTCCGCAGGCCGACGCTCTATCCACTGAGCCAAACCAGTCAGGGCTCAAGGCTTATTTTTTAGTCCTCTCCCAACCAGGGATGTCATTCTAACTCCACACAGATCAATCTTCTTCTATTTGCTATTCAGACACTAAGTGGAGAGCTACCAGTTTTATTGGAGTTTAAGTAACAGGACATATTAATAATAACATTAACAACAACAAAATAATAATAGCTTATCATCCATTAAGTGCCAGGGAATGTTCTAAGTGCTTTATATATATTACTTCATCTATTCTTCCCAACGATCTTGCAGAGAAAATAGAATTTTCCCCATTTTATAGAAGAAAGTGCAATTCTGAGGGGCCGCTGGGTTGGAAATGGTAGAACTGACATTGGGATTTGTCGCTCTGACTCCCAAGTTCAAGCCCTACCCACTGTGCCACGGTGCCCCGTTTCTCATGCTTTATGTGCCAGACAGCCCGAGCTGGGTTGGAGACTCACTGGTTTTCCCTTGGTAGGAAAAGCCTCTAGTCCCAACGTCCGGCCCCAGGAACCAGGAACTGAAGAGAAAGTACAAGTCCCACCACGACCAAATGATCTGCAAGTGCCTGTCTCTGAGCATATCCTACGCTGCGACCATCGGGGGCCTGACCACCATCATCGGCACCTCCACCAGCCTCATTTTCTTGGAGCACTTCAACAAGTAAGTCGTTCACTTCGCCAACCAATTTCTACTAACCGCCCACGTGTCGGGAATGTGACGAGGTGCTAAGGAGATAGCAGAAAATGGGCTAGAACAGGGTCTGTAGCAGGAGGGAAAGAGATGACCAAGTCATGACAGCTGAATGTGACTGGAGAAGGGCAGGGTTCTGCTGGGAGAGCCCCGCTGGGGGAGGCATCCAGTCCCAGTGCCTCCCCGAGGAGGGGACGAGAAAAAGCAGGGACCGAAGCATGAGCTGGAGGGAACCAGATGAAGGGAGATTTTCCAGCCAAAGCAAACAGTGTGTAGGAGGGCTCAGAGCAAGAGAGCAAGCACATAAAAGAAAACGAAA